CCCCGGACAAAGCGGATGAAGATGGATGGATGGATGGATGAATGGTCATAAATAGTATCTTTTGCTGGCCTATTAACAGAGATGGGCAGTAGCGTTACTGTAATCCAATTACTTTTTTCAAGTAACGAGTAAAGTAAGGGATTACTATTGCAAAAACGGTAATTAGATTACCGTTACTTTCCCGTAGGAACACTGCGTTACTAAAACTGTAATTTTTTTATTTTTATTTTTTTGCGAGAATGTCTCATGACAGTGACGTAAGCGAGTGCGACATTCGTGACAACAGCTGTGTGCAGATCAACAGTGGATCATATATCGAGTGCAGGAGAGAGTATGAGCGTGCAGCATTTAAAACGTGGAAGTACTGACCTTACTTTGAGTTTGATTCCATAAAAAGTGACAAAAACATTAGCGTCCGTTGTGCGTGGGAAGAAGTTAAGTCTGAGTTCAATGGTTCTTCCTCAATTTTTGATCTTGTGACTTTCAACTTCCATGCAGCTTTTATATCTTACCGGGCTATTCGTGTAACCTCATCATTCAAACAGATAAAATAACAATACTAACTCAACCTTAGCGACTGCAGTCGCAGACAAGCAATGAATAATTACCTATCACAGAGCTTCCCTTGTCACAGCAACTGTTGATAAATCTTATTTTTAAAGCTTCATTTTGCGTCATACACAGTTTTCTCTCTTGATTTGGGGAGCAGATACTGACATTCTCTTTAACCACTGCAGCAGCAGCCCTGCTATGACACTATTGTTAACCAAACCCGAGGACATAGAGATGATATTTTCACAGATGGGTCAGATAGGAGCAGACGTGAAGGCACACTGAATGGATATTCATGGCCTCACATATCCTCACCCATCCTCACCCACTTTTATTCCCTGGTCTGTCTCGCTTCACTTTACTATTTTAGTTCCCCCAACTGTCGTGAAAAAACTCCAAGCAAGGGAGACGGATCATAGCAGAGTAATGGCCACTTGAGGTGAATCATTAGCAGTAATAATATCTGCAGTTTAAGCCATCAATCTTGGCACTGTGCTGATAGATGTGCTGCACTGACTGTTATACCATCACCCTGTCATCACAGCCCCCTCTCCCTTATCTCTATAGCACCCTTAGCTCTCTCAGCCTCACAGCTCTATTATACAGTATCTATTGGTTATCAACTAGATCTGAAAATATTTGAAATGTGCTGAAATTGAAAGGTTTAGAAATGTTTCAGTAGACTGAGTCTTAAAAACTCCTCTAAAGTGAACTAACCTTTTTCTTTCTTCTTATGGAGAAAATTTATTATGGCTCAATTCCACATTTACTGACTCAGTGGGCTTTATATCTTCAGTCCTTGGCCCTCACCAACCCAAAAGCAAGGTGCTCAAAAACCGCAGCGCATATTAACGTGCAAGAAGTCCCCTCACCCACAGACAGACTGTACTGTTGACATAATGTGTGAATATTAGGCCTCTTTCCATGTTTGCATGGAGAGTCTCGTGCAGAGCGTGCTGTATTTTATATCTGAGTTGCTTAAGGTACATTTAGGATTGGGATTTTTAAATATATAATAAAGATATTCATAAAACGTCTTTACCACAATACCTTGAAAACTTGGCTAGTACCAAAAACTGGCATTAAACACTTTGTCAGATTTTTCTTACTCATTGAGTGATCAGAACATTGAAATTATTCGATGTGGTTAGGATAGTTGCTTTTAAAAGTGTTCATTTATTGGAATAAGAGGGGAGATGTTCAGAATGAGTGTGTCCCAAAACTCGGCCTCTGTCTTTACCTTTAGCTCTTTCTCATTCTGAATGTTTAAAGCCGAGCTTTGGGTATTTCTGATTTTTATGGTGGAATTACTTGTAATAAGATCGTCTCTTCAGCCATCAGATTTTCCTTTTAGAGAATGATCATCCTCAACCTACAGGACCTACACTGTCGTCAGCAAATTATATCAGAAACATAATGATTCTCCTTCAGCTGCCTGTCGTTGCTCTGAATTGCAGTGCTATTTTCAAAGAGAAACGTGCACAAACCCTGTGCTAACGCTCTATGAATTTTGTTACTACATCACTTCCTCATTGCCCTGCATGCCTGCTCAGCAAATGATGCTCTTTCATTGAGTAACTGTTGTTAACTTTACTCAAAGAAATATGGTTAATAGAATTAGACCAGCCGCACCTGCAGGCCTAATTACTGCCAGACCTGTTAAATCAAATCACTTAAATAGAACCTATCTGACCAAGTGAAGTCATCCAAAGATCATTAAAAGCAACACATCGTGCAAAAGTTAAAGAAACTCAAGAACAAGTGAGAAAGTATTGACATATATCAGTTTGGAAAGGGTTAAAAAGCCATTTCCAAGGATTTGGATTTGAAACGGTGGTAAGGGTGGCATCCATTGGAGAGTTAAAAGTAAAATCTGTTACTGACCAGAAAGAATACAAAGAGTAGTAAGCGGAAATCCCAAAAAGTTGATTCCATTCATCTGGATGTGAACAGAAACGTTTCGTCACTCATCCCAGTGACTTCTTGAGACTCGAGAGGATGAGGAAGAAAATCAACATTTTGGGATTTGCCTAAAAACATCATGATGATCCCTAAAACTGTTGAGAAAAGATTTTGTGGACTGCTTAAGCAAACTTGAACTTTTTGGAAGGTTACATCATGTGTAAAAACTAACACAGGATTTCACAAAGAGAACATCATGCAACAGTCAAACATGGGGGAGGTAGTGTGGTCTGGGGCTGCTTGGTTGCTTCAGGACCTGGACCACAATTGAAGGTACCATGAATTCTGCTACCAGAAAATCCTGCAGGAGAATATCCAGCTATTAGTTCATGTCCTGAAACTCGAGCTCGCGTTGGTATATGGATATAAGTTTAATTCCTACGTTTTTCTGTATTTTACTTATTCGCATACTATAGATAAAAATTAGTCTATGTGGCTAAATCTGACATATTTACATGATGTATTTAGGTGTGAATGTCGATTAACTTGAATTGTCCTTATAAATAAACAAACTTGGATTATGCAGCAGACGACGATCGGAAACACACGATCAAGTCACCCTCTGAATGGCAAAAAAAGCAAAATGAAGGTTTTGGAGTGGCCTAGTCAAAGTCCCGACTTAAATCTAATTGAGATGCTTCCTCCACAGCGATGTGAAAGAGTCATTGCCGGTAATTTCAAATGCTTGATTGCAGTTCTTGCCGCCAAGGGTGGCACAACCAGTTATTAGGTTTTAGGAGGCAATTACTTTTTCAGACAGGGCCAGATAGGTTTGGATAACTTTTTTCCTTTAATAAATGAAATGATCGTTTAAAAAGCGCATTTTGTATTTAGTCGGGTTAGCTTTGTCTTCTATTAAAATGTTTCGATGATGATCTGAAATATGTAATTAATATAAAAACAAAAACATCAGGATAAGTGCTCTTTTTCACAGCTCAGCAAACTAGTTGTTAGATAGAAGTCGGTGCCGCCAACTTTGCTTTCTTACTGTGTTAATAACATGCAGCACCAAACATAGGGGGCACCTGTGTTTGAAACGACCTTTGACCATCCACTGATGCATCACTGTTACCATTTAACACTCACAGAGTAAATAATAGCACGTCTGGACCTTCTAAGACTACCTCTACAAGGCTCACAGATGAGGGATTGAGATAGTTTACAATAAATATTTCAGACACATGGGGCTCACAGTGTAATAACATTTATTCAAAAACCCATTGTCTGCTTACCCATGCAGAGTCCACACATTCATTTTGTTTGAATTTCCCCCTGTTGAAGAGTCAGCGTTACTTGTTCTGATAAGCACT